GTTTATTTTTGTGATTTTTATTTTATTTTATTTTATTTTTTAAGACAGAGTCTTCTCTGTTGCATGTGCTAGAGTGCAGTGGCATCATCATAGCTCACTGCAACCTCAAACTCCTAGGCTCAAGCAATCCTCCTAGGCTCAAGCAATCCTCCTGCCTGAGCATCCTGAGTAGCTGGGACCGCAGGAGCATACCACCATGCCCAGCTAATATTTCTACTTTTTGTAGAGACAGGGTCTCACTGTGTTGCTCAGGGTGGTCTTGAACTCTTGGCCTCAAATGATCCTCCTGCCCCAGCCTTCCAAAGACCTAGGATTATAGGCATGAGCTACTGCACCTGGCCAGTTTAATTTTTTTTTTTTTTTTTTAGGATAAAAACTCAAGAACACTTTTTCACTTGTGCAATGAAATGTTGGTACCTGTTTTAAGAGAATTCATTTTCAGTTGCTTTTATCTTTTACCATATCCTTTGATAATGAAGACCTCAGTTTATCCAGATGTCAGTTTATCCATAGCTGTTATCATGTATGTTGGAGTTTGATGGGGACATTTGGAGAAGTCCTAGGGTTCAGAGATTCATAGATTTCAGTATGTGTGAAGGAATGTCTGCCATTTATTAAGACTGTGCAGTTACAAATATTTTACAATTATTAACCTATTAGGCTAGACTGACTTTTAGTTTGAGAGAACTGAGCCACATCTCTAAGGACTTATTTAACAGTTTACATTCCCTGCATCTGCTTATTTGGGGACAAAAACCAATCTTCTAGTCTACATTCTTAGTATTCAACAATGCATTCTTTTTTTTTTTAACTTAATTTTTCTTTTTTTCTTTCCTCTCTACATTTGAATTTCATACAATGTATTCTCTTTACTAATGATTCTCTCCAGTACCAAAATTTTTAACAGATAATACTTTGAGGTGAAAATAAGCCAACAAAAGTCAAAGCGTTGCATTTTTCATTAAGGTAAACTTATTCAATTCAAAATTATTAGCTTTTATTTCAAGATTATATTCTCTTTACAGTTTTGGTATTAAAATATCCACTCATGCAACAATTTTAGTTTTTTTAATGACCTTATTAACAAATATTAAAAAGCTAATCCCCCATTTTATTTTCTATGAAAATCTGGGCATCTTGGAACCTAGTCATCGTAGAGATCTTTCTGAAACTCCCATCTAATTATCTCATTCTCTTCCTTAAAACCCTTCAGGTGGATACTGTAGCCTATAGCAATATAATCCCATTGGGGTTTTTAATCCATATGTGCAATAAGTATTTTCTGTAGCCTGAATAAAATATTTTTATTATTTTTTTCTAAAATTTTGAAAGATATGAAAATGCTCAATTTATTTTAAAAGTTTGACTGACTTTCTAGTAGCCTTTTATATTTTTTTGTATGTATCTTTCTCACTCATATAATTTTTGTCAAGTGTAGAAGTCACTGAACTAGTTTTATTTTGAAAAACCATCATCACAACTATAATCCCAGCACTTTGGGAGGCAAGATAGGAGGGTCTCTTGAAGCCAGGAGTTTGAGACTAGCCTGAGCAACATAGCAAGACCCTGTCTCTACACAAAATTTAAAATTTAGCCAGGTACAGTGCGATGTACCTGTAGTCCCACCTACTCAGGAGGCTAAGGCAGGAGGATTGCTTGAGCCCAGGAGTTCAAGGCTGCAGTGAGCTATGATTGTGCCACTGCACTCCAGCCTGGGTGATAGAGCAAGACCCTGTCTCTTAAAATAAAAAGCATTAACTGACAACTAAAGAGTTTTCACCTGATGTTTGAGTAGCTATGAGAAAGTGATTATTTAAATTTAATAAATGATTGTTTTGAATTATTTCAGTAGGTATCAAATTCTTTTCAAGAAAACACTGATGACTTATTAATTTATAAATTGATAAATGATATATTCTGATGAAATTCAACAGTTGAAGTCTGTAGCATATTTATAGGAAAAAATCAGCTAAACCATAGAATTAGTTTAGTTTTTGGTTTGTTTGTATTTGTTATAGCACTGTATTAAAGTTTATGTACACCTGCAAAAATAAAAAATAAAAAGCATCATAAGCAAAAGTAAACCTATAAGGGAAAAATAGATTTGATAATGTAAGAATTAAAATTTTGATATAGTAAGAAAACATATACCACATTAAAAGGTAGAAACATGGAAAATATATGTAACATACAGTGTTTGAAAAATGAGATATATTATCCTTACTATAAAGAGATTTTTACAACTCATTAATAAAAATAATACTGTACTTGTAAAATCAATAAGGAACAGGAACCTGAATAGCAATTTATAAAAGAAATATAATTTTCTAATAAATGTGAAAAAAGTTCAACATTACTAAAAATAGAAGTTTCAACTTAAAACAAGATATTTTTTCCCTAGCACTTAGCAGAATGTTTTTAAAGACCTATATGGCAAGGGTTTGAGGAAATGGACACTCTCCTAACTGCTGGTGGAACTATATATTGGTATGTTCTTTGGAAGACAATTTGGCTATATGTATCAAAAGGCTTACATTTAAAAAAATCCTATTTTACTTAGCAATACATTTTTCTGGGAATATAACTTAGAGAAATAAATAGGGATGTGATTAATATTTGGCTGTAAGGATATTCATCTTAGCATCTAAATACCCAACAATTACATACCTATTTAAAAAGAAAAAAGATTTTAGTTCATTCATGTGGTAAACACTATTCAGCCATTAAAAATGATTTTGTTAATCTTAAACATGGCAAAATATTAATGAGATAATATTAGGTTCAATATATAGAAATTAGGCTAACAATAAACAGTGGTTATTTTGAGTGATGGATTTTTTCCATTTAAAAAAATATTTTTAATGGAAATGTATTTTATTATTAAAAAATAGTTATTGGTAATCACTGTAGAATAAATCCATAATATGTTCCCTACGTGTCTCTACTTTCCCATACACAGCATTCCTAACTGCTGCCACTTCTCAGAGTACACCATCCCCTTAACAATGCCTCTGTACCTTTGCTTACCCCTTGGCCACTTAGGGAGTTCCTGCTCATCTGTTAGTTCAGACAATACCACCATGAAGTCCTTCAGCCATCCGCTTTTCTTTGCTTATTCCACACAATTATTTTGTGTAATTGTGTAGTTACAATGTCGTCTCCACTAGGCAGTGAACTCCTCTCATTTTTTTATTTAGTAAATATTTGTTGAGTGCATATGTGCCTGGCACATGTATTTATAAAGATATAAAGATGATAAAGATATAAAGATATTTCTATTCAATGTGTTTGTGTTATAAACTAAACGATAAACGTTAAGCGATGTGTGGACTGTATTAAAAAGAAAGCAAGAATTAGCCAGATCAAGGGGCAGGGGGATAGTGGTTTCAGGTAGCAGAAACAGCTTGTATAAAGTCCTGAAATTTTAAAACCATAAGTTTCAGGAAGGTCGTTAGGATGTTTGTGGCTATTGAGGTTGATTTCTGACAAGAATTATGTATAATTTTATCCTGAAAGAAGCTCCAGAATTCATATTTTTGCAAGAGATTAGGAAGTTATATAAAACAGGAGTATCATTAGAGAAAACATCCTAACATTAAATTCAACAGAAATTCGAGTGTGAATGGTTGGTTTGTTATTTTCTAAGTATTTGTATAAAATATATTCTGAGGATTGAGAAATTAGTGTAAAATAATAAAAGGTCTGAATTATAGAATATTTTAAATCTATTGTATAATCTTAACTGGTCCTAATAAAATGTTGTTAAGTGATATTATTTGGAGAACACCTTTGAGTTAATAGATTAAAAATGATGGCAAGTTTTGAATAGCAGTTTTTTTCCGGCATATTATGGGGGTACAAATTTTAAGGTTTCAAAAAATGCCCTATCCCTCCCCCTCCCCCCACAAGTCTGAGTTTCCAGTGTGACTATCCCCCAGATGGTGCACATCTCACTCATTATATATGTATACACCCACCCCCCTCCCACATGCCCAATACCCTATTACTGTAGTTCCCATGTATCCACTTAGGTGCTGCTCAGTTAATACCAGTTTGCTGGTGAGTATGTGTGGTGCTTGTTTTTCCATTCTTGGGATACTTCACTTAGTAGTATGGGTTCCAGCTCTAACCAGGAGAATACAAGATGTGCTATATCACCATTGTTTCTTAGAGCTGAATAGTACTCCATGAAAAGTCCCCAAACAATAAATGCTGGCGTGGATGCAGAGAGAGAGGAACACTCCTACACTGCTGGTGGGACTGCAAACCAGTTCAAACTCTGTGGAAAGCAATATGGAGATTCCTTAAAGCAATACAAGTGGATCTACCATTTGATCCAGTAATCCCATTACTGGGCATCTACCCAAAAGATCCAATGACACTCTACAAAAAAGACACCTGCACTCGAATGTTTATAGCAGCACAATACATAATTGCAAGGTTGTGGAAACAGCCCAAGTGCCCATCAATCTAAGAGTGGATGAATGGCAGTTTTTGTACATAAACGTGTTCTAAATAGAAAGAGATATTACTTGTAGCAGAATAAATATTTCTCATGATTTTGAAGGGACGCTTGATGAATGTCCCTCTCAGTAATCAAGTCTTCAAAATCTCCTATATCTCTTATTAAGTTCTCTGACATAATTTTTATTTCCTACACAGGTTCTAAATTTCCTTTCTTTCCCACTATCACTGTTTTGCAAACACTCCTATTTCCAATTCTAAATAAAAATCAGTGATTTAAAGCAAATGGATCAAATTACAATGTGGCTGTCATTAAATTAGAGTATCCTGGCCCTATGATTATATGAATTATACTTACTGTTTATAGTATATCAGAATCATTGGGTTTATACAGTGATTTTGTATCCCCCCCCTTTTTTTTCTTTCTTGATTAGATAATATTAAGACTGTTTCTCAAATCAAGTTGCCTTTAAATGAACCAGTTTTGTGTTTCTTTTTCTTTTTCTTTTCTTTTTTTTTTTTTTTTGCTTTTATAGATTTCTTGATAACCGGCTGTTTGCTACCTGCTCTGATGACACTACAATAGCACTGTGGGATCTGAGAAAACTGAACACCAAAGTATGCACTTTACATGGTCACACTAGCTGGGTGAAGAACATCGAATATGATACTAATACAAGACTCTTAGTAACATCAGGATTTGATGGAAATGTCATTATTTGGGACACTAACAGGTTTGTGAATAGGAGACCATGTTAGGATTGTGAACAAAAACATTTTTTTAAAAGATACTGAACAAATTCAGTGTTCTGTCCTAGCCTTAAGAAAGAAACTCACTTTAGGAAAAACAATCAAAAAGTGATTCTACCTTTTATTACTTGCACTTAGTCAGATATTCCAACTAAAAATTTTGGAGCTGGGTGTAGCGGCTGAAACCTTGTAATCTCAGCTACTGGGAAGACTGAGGTGGTAGGATTGCTGGAGGCGAGGAGTTTGAGACCAGTCTGGGCAACATAGTGAGACTCCCATCTCTAAAAAAATTTTAAAAATTAGGAACATGAGGTGTCTCAGGCCTGTAGTCCCAGCTACTGGGAGGCTGAAGCAGGAGGATCACTAGAGCCCAGCAGTTCAAGACCAGCCTGAGTGATATAGCAAGACCCTATCTAAAAACAAATAATTTTCTTGGAGAAAATTATATGGGAAGGAGACTAAGTAATATAGTTAATGATGAAAACTGGTTTATAAAATGAGTTTCCTGAATTTAATGAAAAATGTTTTTATCATTTCTTCTGTGAAACTGAAATGTTTCTCCCTTTTTGTCCTTTAATTCTAAATCTATTTAATTTGTAATTTTTGTACTTGCACTAAAAGAGTGGTTCTCATTTGGAGTGGTACTCACCTGAAAGGGAATGTTTAGAAATTATATATGGGGCAGTTTTGGTTGTCACTATGGGGGAAAAAGGAGGAATTTAGTCAGTAAGGATCAGAGTTTCTAAACATTGTGTAGTACACAGGATGTTTGCATAGTGGACCAGTTGTCCCATCTAAAATGCCAGTTATGCCTCTGTCATGAAACCTTTTAATAATATGTCTCCTTAAAAATAAATTATTTTTTAAAAAAAGAAATTGATTAATTAAAGAGTTGATGTTTGAGAAATAGTTAAAATATGCCTTGTACTAGCTATGGAGAAATGATAATGTAATAACATATCAGGATAATTTCTGAAATATTCTTTTGAGAGATCATATATATAGAGGGGGTCATATATATAGGAGAGGGTCTATTCGAGATTTCTGGCTACACATATTGTTTGAATGGAGGATAGAACTATTGATTAGACTAAGACAGGCATACCTGCTAAAATTTAGAAGTAAATTTATTTCTTAAAATTTAGTAAGAGAGGGCGGGGCATGGTGGCCCGGCCTGTAATCCTAGCACTCTGGGAGGCCAAGGCGGGCAGATTGGTCAAGGTCAGGAGTTCAAAACCAGCCTGAGCAAGAGCAAGACCCCGTCTCTACTAAAAATAGAAAGAAATTAATTGGCCAACTAAAAATATATAGAAAAAATTAGCTGGGCATGGTGGCACATGCCTGTAGGTCCCAGCTACTTGGGAGGCTGAGGCAGAAGGATTGCTTGAGACCAGGAGTTTGAGGTTGCTGTGAGCTAGGCTGATACTATGGCACTCTAGCCCAGGCGCCCAGGCAACAGAGTGAGACTCTGTCTCAAAAAAAAAAAAAAAAGAGAGAGAAATAAAAAACAGAGAATAAGATGATACTATCAGCTTTATGCCAATATAATTGAAAACATGAAATAGGCAGTTTACTCAAAAAATACACCTTAGCAAAACTGACCAAGTAAGAAATAGAAAACCTGAAAAAGACCTATTACCAAGACTGATATTTAACTAATATGGACTGGTTTAGTTGAAGTAGCTGTTAAAAGATTGAACTTCTTTCCATGCTAATTGTTAAATAGCCACTGCCCTGTGTTATCCCCTGACACCCTCTGTCTGCCCAGGCCGCTCTTCTAGGGATACCTCCCTCAAGATCTCCCCAGGATGCATTAGCTAAAGACTCACTTACACAATAGGGCAGTTCCAGGACCCTGTTCCAGCATAGCTATCTATATCTATTCAAACTAGCTAGTGTATGTGCAGTTCTGGTTATTTAAATATTCTGAGTATCACCTCTGCCATAGCCATTAAAGAACTGGAAAAATACAATTAAACTTACCTACAGACTCTGCGTGGTAGCTCATGCCTGTAATCCTAGCACTCTGGGAGACTAAGGCGGGAGGATCACTTGAGCTCAGGAGTTCGAGACCAGCCTGAGCAAGAGTGAGACCCAGCCTCTACTAAAAACAGTAAAAATTAGCTGTGTGTGGTGGTACATGCTTGTAATCCCAGCTACTCAAGAGGCTGAGGCAAGATTGCTTGAGCCCAGGAGTTTGAGGTTGTTGTGAACTACGCTGCCACCATGGTACTTTAGCCAGGGCAATAGAGTAAGATTCTGTCACAAAACAAAGAAACTTATGTACAATACTAACAAAAGAGCAGCCCTCTCAGTTTTACAGATAACTTCTACCTAATATTGCAAATAAGAGAACATTATAATTTTACTAACTTGTCAGATTCTAGGAAAAGAAAATTCTCCTTACTTCATGTATAACGCTAGTATGACCTTGATACCCCAACTTCTTAAAAGAAGTACAAGATTTGTGCATTGAAAACTATAAAATGCTGCTGAAAGAAATTAGAGAAGTTGTAAATGAATGGAGAGATATTCTGTGTTCATGGATTGGAAGACTCAGTATCATTAATCACTAACAAGTATTGGCAGGAGTGTGGAGAAACTGGAAACCTCATTACTGAAACCCACATTGCTGGTGGGAAAGGAAAATGGTACAGCCACTTTAGAAACCAGTTTGGCAGTTTGATAAAATGTTAAACACAGAATTACCATGTGACTCACCAAACTCATTCCTAGATACCTACCCAAGAGAAATGAATACATATGTCCACACAAAGACCTGTACATGAATGTTTATAGTAGCATTATTCTTTAGCAAAAATATGGAACCAGTCCAATGTCCATCAAGTGGCAAATAGATAAACAAAATGTATGTATACAATGGAATACATTTAACAATGAAAATGAACAAAGTATTGATAAATGCTACAACATGGATGAATCTCAAAAAAAATTATGCTAGGTGAAAAAAGCCAAATTGCAAAAGACTACTTATTTTATTATTCTGTTTATATGAAATGTCTAGAATAGGCAAATCTATAGAGACAGCTTAGTGGGTTGCCTGGTGTTGGGAGTGGAAACAGGGAATGATTGCTAATGAGTACGGGGCGATCTTTTAGCGTGATGGAAGTGTTCAAAACTGGATTGTGTTGATGATTGCACAACTGTATATTTACTAAAAATTATTAAATTGCATACTTAAAATGAGAAAATTTTATGGCATGTAAATTATACCTCAATAAAACTGTTAAAAAACATTAATTAACTAGAGATAGAAGGAAACTCATTAAAAGTATACACTAAAAACCTACAGCACATTTTTTAATGGTGAATCTTTAGAAGTTTGCTCTATAAAATCAGGAGGGAGAACATGCCCACTATGACCACTACTGTTTATTAATGTCATGGGGTCTGGGGGAGGCAGAGTACTAGTTGGTACAATAGGGAAAAAATATATACAGGGATTGGAAAGAAAAAGAAACAATATTATTTGCCAATGATATATCAGGGGTTGGCAGATTTTTTTCTGTAAAGGACCATGTAATAAATATTTTAGGCTTTGTATACTATGTATAGTCTCTGAGCAGTCATAGACATACATAAATAAGTGGGTGTGGCTGTGGCTATGTTCATATAATATGAACTTTCTTTATAAAACAGGTGGTGGGCCAGATTTGGCCTATGAGCCATAGTTTTCCAACCGCTGGTCTTATATAGAAAATCCTAGAAATTCTTCAGAGAAATTAGAATTAGTAAGAGCTAGCCAAGATTGCTAGATATAAATTATGGAAAACAGTATGGAGGTTCTAAAAATTTCAAAAACAGAACTACCTTACAATCTAGTAATCCTTCTGCTAGGTATTAATATATATCCAAAGGAAATTAAATCTGTATGTCAAACAGTTACCTGTACTCCCATGTTCATTGCAGCATTATTCACAATAGCCAAGATATGGACTCAACCTAAAGATCCATCAGTGCATGAATAGTTTTAAAAATGTGGTATATGGCCGGGCGCGGTGGCTCACGCCTGTAATCCTAGCACTCTGGGAGGCCGAGGCGGGCGGATTGCTCAAGGTCAGGAGTTCGAAACCACACCTAAGTGAGACCGAAAAAAACCCGTCCTACATAGAAAGAAACTAATGACCAACTAAAATATATATTCACAAAAATTAGCCGGGCATGGTGGCACATGCCTGTAAGTACCAGCTATCGGAGGCTGAGGCAGGAGGATTGCTTGAGCCCAGGAGATTGAGGTTGCTGTGAGCTAGGCTGACGCCAGGCACTCACTCTAGCCTGGGCAACAAAGTGAGACTCTGTCTCAAAAAAAAAAAAAAAAAAAATGTATATGTACACAATGAAATATTAATACTATGCATCCTTTAAAAATGAAATCTTATAATTTGCAACAACATGGATGAACCAGGAGGACAGTATATTAAGTGAAATAAACCAGGCACAGAAAGACAAATATCGTTTATATGTGAATCTAAAAATCAACCGTTAGAACAGAGAATAAAATGGTGGTTACCAGGGACTGGGGACAGGTGGGTGGGGTGCAGCATTGGGGAGAGGTTAGTCAAAGGATACAAATTTTCAGTTAGACAATAAGGAATAAGTTCAAGAGATTTATGTTGTACAACAATGTGTGACTATAGTTAATACCATTTTATTGTATATTAGAAATTTGCTAAAAATAGATTTTAAATGTTCTCACCATAAATATATAAGTATATGAAGTAATATATATATATAAAATAGCTTCATTTAGCCATTCTACAACATATACATATTTCAAAGCATCATGTTGTAATACCTAAATATATATAATTTTTATCAATTAAAAATAAGTTAAAAAGTATTATTACAGGCCGGGCGCAGTGGCTCACACCTGTAATCCCAGTACTCTGGGAGGCCAAGGCAGGCGGATTACTCTAGGTCAGGAGTTTGAAACCAGCCTGAGCAAGAGCGACCTCGTCTCTACTATAAATAGAAAGAAATTATTGGCCACTAATAATATATAAGAAAAAAAATTAGCCAGGACATCGGTGACATGTGCCTGCATGTCAGCTACTTGGGAGGCTGAGCAGAAGGATTGCTTGACCAGGAGTTGAGGTTGCTGTGAGCTAGGCCTGACCACCATGGCACTCTCTCTAGCCTAGGCAACAAAGCGACACTCTGTCTCAAAAAAAAAAAGTATTATTACATATAAGATCAAAATGTAAAAACAGTTCCTATATCATAAGAAATAATTTAAATTTTTAAATTTTAAAATTTAAATTAATTTAAATTAATTATGATTATATAATTATATAATCATAATTAATTTATATTATTATATAAATTAAATATAAATTAATTTAATTATTAATAATTAATTAATAATTAATTATTTAATTTTAAAAGTATATAATTTATATTATTTTTAAAAATATATAATTGGTGGCACTTGCCTGTAGTCCCAGCCACTCCAGAGGCTGAGGCAGTAAGATCGCTTGAGCCCAGGAGTTTGAGGTTGCTGTGAGCTAAGGTGATGCCATGGCACTCTAGACTGGGGAACAGAGTGAGACTGGGAAAAAAAAAAAAAACTTCATTTACGTCATTGTAAGATGTAAATAAAGTCTATAGATGAGAAGACTCCTCGAAAAGTACAGTAAGCAATTTTTTTTAAAAAAGGAATAAACTCATAAAGATGGATAAAGGAGAGGAAACAATTATAATAAAATTTTAGAAGTTGAAAAGCAGGTAGATAAATAGCAACTGACATAAACACTTTGACTTAATGAGTCCAGGAAAGCTAAATCCTAAGCTGGCAGTGAGGAAAAGTTAAGAATTTCAGACAAATTACAGAGAATGCTCAAAATATCATAGGAACTGACAACTTTGGGTACTCTGTAGTAGAAGAAGTAGCTAAAGTGAGGTTTCAAGTGAAAGATATTTAAGAACTTGTATCTCCTGAAACTATACCACTGTGCAGTTGACCTCCCATTTTAACAGAAGTTTTGAGTTTTATTCTCTAAAGCGGTGATCCTCAAACTTTTTAAACAGGTGGCCAGTTCACTGTTGCTCAGACCGTTGGGAGGCCATTGGAGAGTGTGGCGCAAATTCCACACATGTGCACTGTGGCACTGGGATGAGTTGGTTGCTAAGCATGACAGGCAGTGGCCGGCGGGATAAATGTCCTCAGCTGGCTGCATTTGGCCACGGGCTGTAGTTTGAGGACGCCTGCTCTAAAGAGTATAAAATAGAGAGCCTCTGTATTAGAAGATGGCAGACACAGTTAAGGGCTTGGGTACCTTACCAAAAGGTGACCATATGCACACTGAATATTGAATTGAGAATTCTTCAGCCATCTTCCAGTTGATGATCTGAAGATACTGTCAGTAGGACGCCCTCAAAAAAATGGCTTTACTGTATATAAGCTCAAGCCCTACCCTGCACTCAAAGTTCCCAGTCAGCTTTAGTTCCCCACTCTTAATTATGAGCAGACAGCCAAAGATAATCAGACTTTTGAGAAATCTTATAATATAGAGACCCACAAAAATGGGGGAGGATTTTTGGAATGAACAGAGACTATATAGGGAAAAGAAAACTTAAATTTTTTTTAAAAAGCTATTAATACTCTGAGAGATTAGAAAAATACATTGTATGCTTAAAACAAAAATAGGATGCAGCAGAGGAGAAAAATAGAGGGGAGCCTTCTAAGGTACTGGTATTCTACTTGTTAACATGGGTGATAAATCATATGTGTTCATTTTTCTTTAAACTCTACATATTTTTATCTGTGTACTGTTCTATAGGTATGACATGGTTCATAATTTAAAAAATAACAAAAAAGGAAATAAAAGAGGAATAAAAATAGGCAAGGAATAAAAATCTACCAACAAAACCAGGCAGATTTGAAAAAGAGCCAAACAGAATTTAAAGAAGTAAAAAACTACAACTGTGGAAAAATTTTAAACTTAGGATGTGGCAAATAGCAGGTTATATTTGCTTTAATTTGCTTTATATAGCTTTAAAAAATAGATCAGAAGATAGATTTATTGAGAAGTTACCAAGAATACAACATGAAAATGGGCAGATAACATGAAAGCAGTTAAGAGATAAGGAGAGTCAAATATGAATGTTTCAAACATTTATTTGAAGCTGTAAAAGAATAGAGAAAAATGGATGGAAAGCAATGTTGGAATAATGACTGAGAATTTTCCAGATTATATGAATCTTAAGATTTAGAAAGTCAAATGAATCCCAATAAAGATAAAAGGAATCCAAATGACGCATATCAGAGTGCAACTGCAGTACTCCAAAGGCAAAGAGAAGATCAGAGGGAAAAAATAAATAAATTATGCAGAGTATAGCCAGAAATGTTGGCTAACATTTCTAATCCAGTGCTGGGGAGACCCAGGCAGGAGGATCACTTGAGGCCAGGAGTTTGCAATCAGCCTAGGCAACATAGCGGGACTCTGTCTCTAAAACAATTTTTAAAAATTAGCTGGGTGTGGTAGCACACCCACCTGTAGTCCCAGCTACTGGGGAGAGTGAGGCAAGAGTTTGAGGCTGCAGTGAGCTATGATCATGCCACTGTGCTCCAGCCTAGGTGACAGAGCAAGACTTCATCTCTTAAAAAAAAAAAAAAAATTTATTCAAACTAATAGACTAATAGCAGACCTACAAATAATAACAATGGAAGCCAGAACTCAGTGGAATATTATCCTCAGTATTCAGAAATAATTATTGACTCAGGCCGGGCGTGGTGGCTCATGCCTGTAATCCTAGCTCTCTGGGAGGCCGAGGCGGGCAGATTGCTCGAGTCAGGAGTTCGAAACCAGCCTGAGCAAGAGTGAGACCCGCTCTACTATAAATAAAAATTAATTGGCCAACTAATATATAACAAAAATTAGCCGGGCATGGTGGCCAATGCCTGTAGTCCCAGCTACTCGGGAGGCTGAGGCAGGAGGATTGCTTGAGCCAGGAGTTTGAGGTTGCTATGAGCTAGGCTGATGCCATGGCACTCACTCTAGCCTGGGCAACAATGCGAGACTCTGTCTCAAAAAAAAAAAAATTATTGACTCAAAGTTACATGCTCAGCTAAACCTTTATTCAAAAAGAAGAGTAAAATAAAGATTTTCAGAACAATGGAAAAGAGTTTACCTCAATAAAGTCTCACTTAAAAAATTGTGAGGAATATATTTTCGTAAAGAAACGGGCTGGGCGAGGTGGCTCACGCCTGTAATCCTAGCACTCTGGGAGGCTGAGGTGGGCAGATTGCTCGAGGTCAGGAGTTCAAACCAGCCTGAGCAAGAGTGAGACCCCGTCTCTACTATAAATAGAAAGAAATTAATTGGCAACTAACATAATAGAAAAATTAGCCGGCATGGTGGCACATGCCTGTAGTCCCAGCTACTCTGGAGGCTGAGGCAGAAGGATTGCCTGAGCCCAGAAGTTTGAGGTTGCTGTGAGCTAGGCTGACCCCATGGCACTCACTCTAGCCTGGCCAACAAAGCAAGACTCTGTCTCAAAAAAAAACAACAAAAAAGGCCGGGCGCTGTGGCTCACGCCTGTAATCCTAGCTCTTGGGAGCCGAGGCGGCGGATTGCTCAAGGTCAGGAGTTCAAAACCAGCCTGAGCAAGAGCGGACCTCACGTCTCTATATAATAGAAAATTAATGCAACTGATATATAATAACAAATTAGCCCCGGCATGTGGCGCATGCCTGTAGTCCAGCTACCGAGGTGACAGAAAATCATCGAGCCCAGGAGTTTGAGGTTGCGTGAGCTAGGCTGACGCCACGGCACTCACTCTAGCCTGGGCAACAAAGCGAGACTCTGTCTCAAAAAAAAAAACCCAGGATGATCTAAAAAGGAAAATTAGAGATGAAAGAAGGAATGGTGAGCAAAGAAATTGTTAAGCATGTATGTCAATTGAAATATACATTGACTATAAATTCTATTCTTTTAAACATTTGGAAATTTTACAACTTATTCTTTTAGTGTAGTACTCATGTTTTCATTCTACTTTTCTCATAGAATTATATACTGCTGTATTTTATACTTTAGTGGTCATTCATATCTGTAACAAAAATATGTACATAAACTGACATTAATTTTAAAAAGTTATTTCCTATGACTACAGAGCTATAAGTGTTCACTTTTTCTGGATTTAATTGTCATTACAATATTATTAGTCCACAATTGATTAAATAGCATGTATTATTTTAAATCTATTAACATAAAAAGTAAAATTTTGTTGAAAAAAATGTCTCTTTTTGAAGTTTCAAATATTTTTAATTGATACATTGTGATTGTACACATTTATGGGGTACAGTTTGATCTTTTGATATGTATATGTTGTATGATGATCAGATCAGGGTGTTTAGCATGACCATCACCTCATGCATTTATCATTTCTTTGTGATGAGGACATGCAAAAGTCACTCTTCTATTTTGTAATGTACTATATCTTACTGTTAACCATTGTCACCATGTTGTGCAATGGAACATGGAAACTTATTTTTCCTAATTGTAACTTTGTACTGGTTGACTGACCTTTCCCTATCCTCCTAAATTCTATTTTGAAGGGCAAAAAAAAATAAAAAAAAAAAATGCAACTCTCACTGACACTATGTAACTCTAGGTTTTGTTGGTTTGATTTCTTCTGTAGGTGTACAGAAGATGGGTGTCCACATAAGAAATTCTTCCATACACGTTTTCTCATGCGAATGAGATTAACACCAGATTGTTCAAAAATGTTGATTTCAACGTCCTCTGGTTATCTCTTAATTTTACATGATCTTGACTTAACCAAGTCTTTAGAAGTAGGCAGCTATCCCATTTTGAGAGCAAGAAGAACTACATCAAGTTCAGGTAAGCCTTTCTTTTTTTGATTAAAAAAAGATTTTTCTCAAGAATCTCAGACATAGGAATGGTATGTGTTTCTCTTCTGAAAATGATAGCAAGAAAAGGGGAAGAAAATTAAAAGGCATTCTATAGAAAGCTCAATGATAGCATTTTTTCCCAAGCAAGTATAATGATCTCTGTCTTTGATGTGGCATTAATTTGTGCCTCCATATCACAAATGGTCTAGGAAGAATAAATAACTCGAAAAATATTTTCTTTTAGTTTTCTGCTAACCGGGGATCCTTTATCAGTACTTCTGAATCATTAACTATCTAAAAAATTAATGATGGCTCAAGGTAGTATCAGTCTTCTTAAGTCCTTCTGGAATCCAGCAGTTATAGCCAATATAGAATTTTAGTTTTAAGTCTATACTATATCCTAGACTTCCAGATGTCCAGATATAGGTAGCTGGTACCATCTTATCCCATGACCTAACACCTTCTTCCTAAAGCCCTGTTTCTTCTCCCATTGCTAATTCCATTAGACTTCAGTGAATTTAGGTTTCAGAAAAACTTAAGTATTATATTTTATCAATATTTTGTGATAAAAAGACTTTATTTCATCTACCTTTGGGAGTATGATGACTAGTTTGGGGACATACCCATCATTTATAATATTGTGTTTATGAACAAGAACCCAGAAAGAAAGACTTCAGCACTTGAAACACAGAATGTTCATAAATTGCTATTAAAAGGTAACTTTGAATGGTTGGAATCTTTCTCTGTGTACACAGGGCCACTTCTGAAGATTTTTTGGGGAAAGTGCAGGCATAATTGTACTGCAGTTGCCCAATTTAACTGCTAAAAGTAGAAATTTAAGTTTACAAACTTAATTGCAAACTAAATTACAAACTTAATTGCAAAAGCAAGTATAATGCTTTTAGATTTAGAATTGCCTTTTAAGTTAAAACACGATAATCAAGTTTAGTGTAATGAGAAATCATGCTTTATATGGTCTAGCTGGCCTATTTGACTCAACAAGCAAGGTTTTCAGTCTCCCAAGGGTAATTCTGATACTAAATAACATCACAGGAAATTAGATTTAATAAGAATTTGCGGCTGGGCGTGGTGGCTCACGCGTGTAATCCTAACACTTTGGGAGGCTGAGGCAGTAGGATCGCTGAGCCCAGGAGATTGAGGTTGCTGTGAGCCAGGCTGACGGCCGGGCGCGGTGGCTCACACCTGTAATCCTAGCACTCTGGGAGGCTGAGGTGGGCGGATCGTTCGAGGTCAGGAGTTTGAAACCAGCCTGAGCAACAGCGAGACCCCGTCTCTACTATAAATAGAAGAAATTAATTGACCAACTAATATATATAGAAAAAATTAGCCGGGCATGGTGGCACATGCCTGTAATCCCAGCTACTCGGGATGCTGAGGCAGAAGGATTGCTTGAGCCTAGAAGTTTGAGGTTGCTGTGAGCTAGGCTGACGCCATGGCACTCACTCTAGCCTGGACAACAACGTGACACACTGTCTCAAAAAAAAAGAATTTGCAACAGAGGTGTGGGGCCACTAGAAAAGTGTAATGAAATAGAGATTGTTATTTGGAGTAATATATCAAACTCTACTATCTGATATTCATTTTATTTTTTCCACAGATTTCAATGTAAAGTTTTGAATTGCTTTTCAAAGAGTATTCACATTAACTAGGCACAGTGGTATGTGCCTATAGTCCCAGCTACTAGGGAGGCTAAGGTTGAGGTGGCAGGATCCCTTGAACCCAGGAGTTTGAGGCCAGCCTGGGCAACATAGTGAGACCCCCCTGCCCTGCCTCATCTCTTAAAAAAACAAAAAAGAGTATTTACATAATTTCAAGAGTGATAATAGAAATTTTTGGTATGCTTTAAAGAAGGATCTGTTCATATTCCCAGTAATGGGGCTGTTACTTAGACTCTATTCTAACATTAAACAACAGGCTTAAGAGCTTAGTTTTCATTGTCATTGAATTTTCTTGTTACATCTTAGTACAGAAATGATGGCGAACTAAAGATGCTCCTATGCTTATTTGGTTGTTTATTTTTATTTCACATAAGCAATTCTTTGGTATAAAATATTTTAGAAAAGGATTAGACCTTAGAACACTTCAAAGAGCCATCCTACCTTCCTCAGTCTTAATTATAGGTCAATTTTATGTGAGCATTATTTTGGATTTTAACAGTATGGTTCAAGCAGATAATAAAAAAGAGCAACTACTAGAATTATGCTAGGTTTACTGTCAGAATTTTTTTGTATTTTTAAGATTTGACTACTTCATCAAGTTCATCTGGTCCTAGAGTTTCTGGTTCACCTTGTCATCATAATGATTCCAATTCATCTGAGAAACACATGTCACGAGCCTCTCAAAGAGAAGGTAGGTTAAAAGTTGGATTTTATAATCTTGCAACAACAGAGCCCACCAAATAGCTTTCTTTGGTTTGGTTTTTATGTATAAAAATAAAAACCAGTAGAGATTAGGAAATTTCTTACCCCTCATTATTTTCATCATTTTTAAAAAGCTAACGGGAATATCTGGAGTTGAATAACTTGGGCTTAAATCTTTGGTGGAATTTGAGCTTTGGTTTTATTACCTGGACTTAGTTTGGTCTAGTTGGGAGAAAAGGTAACTTGGAAATGTAGATTTTAGTTAAGGTTGTTGGGAAAATTAAATGAGATTACACATGTGAAAGTGCTATATAAATATAAGGGATGAATTCTCAGGTGATTATGAAAGTCATCTGGTTCCTACCTGGTGGGCTTTTAGCTCTGCCATTTCTTTGCGCAATGCCTGACAGCCTCAGAGGGGTTGTGGGACAAAGTGTGAGCTACAATCTGGTGCACTCTGTATTTGCCAATTTTTCCCCATCCATTCTGGCAGAACTAGCTGCTCTGCCTATCTCTTCTACTTCCTAACTGAAATGCTTTCTACCTGTATGAATTCCATTCTACTGTTCCTTTTCATACCAATCCACATATAAGTTCTTGCAGTCTTTATTGTTTGTTCTCCTCTTTGTGAACTGAGTATTAAGGGCCAGATACGGATTTTTTTTTTTTTTTGTCATTTTAGAGATGTATATGTCTCTACCTCAGTATTTAGGGCAGAGACTAAACCTTAGACTTCTAATTTGTGTTTTCTTTCGGTAGTTTGGCCTGGTAGATGCTAGTTATCTTGCATGACTGCTTATGTTGGTAGAATAGTTTCTTTTTCTTTTTTTGAGACAGTCTCACTCTGTTGCCTGGGCTAGAGTGCCATGGCGTCAGCCTAGCTCACAGCAACCTCAAACTCCTGGGCTCAAGCAATTCTTCTGCCTCAGCCTCCCAAGTAGCTGGGACTACAGGCATGCGCCACTATGCCTGGCTAATTTTTCTATATATTTTTAGTTGGCCAATTAATTTCTTTCTATTTTTAGTAGAGATGGGATCTCGCTCTTGCTCATGTTGGTTTCAAACTCCTGACCTTGAGCGATCCGCCCGCCTCGGCCTCCCATAGTGCTAGGATTACAGGTATGAGCCACTGCGCCCAGGTGGTAGAATGGTTTGAGAGCCTTTTCTAACCTAACCTATGGCCTATCCACTTTCTTTTGGATGTTGAAAACTGTGATGTTTCACTTTTAAGGTTAAAAACTCCTCCCCTTAAATTTAAAAATTTATGCCCGGAAGTATAACATTTCTCCTTTGATTTGTAGGAGAAACATCTTTTGCAGATTCTACCTTCTTCTACTTGGGTTATGGGAAACAAACCAAGGCTTCTAGTAATCATTGAGAAAAAATCTTTATTGATTGACTGTACCATCCACAAGATAAAGAAACTTAAGAAGAAAAGGATAGTTAACATGCTTGCTTGTTACTGACCAGTGGTAACACAAATATAGCAATTTGTGTTGTATTATATTATATTAATTATTATATTATTATTATACAGCATAGATAGTTGGGAATAAGGAATGAGATAATAGATCAGGAGCCTAGGAAGAAAGAAAAAGAAAATTAGAGGGTGGAAAGAGAAGAAAAAGGTGAGAGAAAGTGGAATTTATAGGTGAAGTTGCTTTGAACGTTGGAAATTCTGGATCTTCAAGTGTCTGAGTATGTTAACACCATCCTTTGGCAGATATAATAGCTGGATAGAGCAGAGGCTTTCAGATTCATTTCAGCATTAGAACCCTATTTTTCACATGAAATCTTCTGTGGATTCTTAGGATGTAGCACAAATAAAATCAAAGTAGCTCTGGTTCAAGTAAAATTAGAGAGGCCCTTGACCTTCTAGTCTTCCTCACCCAATCTCTACCTCAACTCCAACACGGTTCTCACCTTTTGCCAGCTCCTAAGAACCTCCAAGGAGCACAGCTAGCAAATTGCTGCTTACCTATTTAGAACAGATTTCTTTTCTGCTTCTGTTACAGGTTTTCAAAATTAATTCTTACAATAAGAGTTTGTTTTTCTCTAAAATTATTAAAGTTCAGTCACATTTGAAATCATTATTTAGGCATAGTTTGGTTGTAACAGTGTTATTTAGAGCTTCACACGTTTTTGATAATGAAGTACTAATCTAAAGGGAATCTTTAAAAAGAAGACAACACATCTGCTTGAGAAGCAGTTCACAAAGGATCTGACAAGGGAGGTCATTACCTTCAAAGTAACTCCTTCCATAGTCAGAGAAGTATTGAAATATTTCTCTTGATATTAAATTTCTGAGCTGTTTTCTCACAATGTCTATGAAATTGGTTCTACACACTCCTGAGGGATATGACATACTCCCATTAATAACAGTGGTTTACTACAGTAGTCATTTTCATTGGAGGATAGGTAGAAGGAAATGATGGGACATAGTAGAGTCACCAAGAAAATATATGATGGGCAGTGTCTCCCATCCCTTGTTTTGACATGCTTCTATGTGAGGTATCCTCCTTCATCTCCAAAATTATAGGTCTATCATTATTTATAGTACTGTCTTGGGGGCCATAAGTCCTGATGCTTTTATCTACTTAAAGGCAATCCTCATGGCTTCCAAGTATCTGCTTCTCTGGACTAGAGAGCACCAGGTCCAGTGAGATGAGAATGGCTATCTTTACTTTTCTAGCTTCCTTCCATGTCACATAACTTTGATTCTAACTTAAATAAAGAACTTTCTGAGATGTAGATTCAAATCAAAAGGACCCCTAGTCAGCTTTTATGCCTTACCCTTAAATTGCTGGTGGTTCCTGCTGCAGAAACTTGTATTTTTTTAGTTCTAGTCATACCCTTTTCCCATATCCACCTCCAAAACTCACTCGCATACCATATTTTGGTGAGTACCATGTTCTTTTACATGTGGTAGCATAAGGGGCAGACTGAGGAATGAGGGCATGGTAGGTAACTGCTAGAAATCAAAACTTTGATGAATTGCCATAGTCCTTTGATAATATAAATCCCACACCCTAATTTTGTATCTTAGGAGTTTCACCACGAAATAGTCTTGAAGTCTTAACCCCTGAAGTTCCTGGTGAGAGAGACCGTGGAAACTGCATCACATCCTTACAGCTGCATCCAAAAGGCTGGGCCACTCTTCTTCGGTGCTCAAGCAACACTGATGATCAGGAGGTACAACAGCAGTGCTCCTCCTTCAACAGGGTTCATTGGACAAATTGCCATTGCCATGTGTGCAGCCTTAGACTGATCGGTAGACACAGTCTCTGCCCTCAGGGGCACACTGTCAGAGATCCTCCTTCTCGACTCTCCTGTTTCTGTCCTCTTCTGCTTCATGTGGCATCTTTATCCCTTGTAAACTCTTCTTCCTACTCTCCTGCCTGGGTGTAGCAAGCTGGGAAGTACTTTAAAGGCCATGATCAGCTCAGATTGTGCCCAGCTTCTTAATTCTTGTCTCCTCTTTCTCACCCTTAAAAAACACAGCTCATGCCTATAGTCCCAACTACTTGGCAGGCTAAGAGGATCACTTGAGTCCAGGAATTCAAGACCAGTCTGGGTGATATAGCAAGACCCTGACTCTAAAAATCACCGAACACACACACAAGAAAAACTCCTTATATGGTAAACATGGGACTGAGATGTTTTCAGCTAAGCTGGCCAAAAGTGAGGTTTTGCTAAGCCAATTGGTATTATAATTTTCTTTTTTTAAAAACCAGGGAAACTCTGGGAAAGGAAGGGTCTATACTGATGACTAGGGGAAAAGGTCTTAAATGACTTTATGATTTTCCTCACTCTGGAAAGTAAGAGTCTTCCAAGGATCTCACTGGCTTTAGAGGACAGAACTAAAAAGAGAAGAAAGAGCCTTTGAATTGTACAGGGGAAGAGGTAAGGTACTCTACAACTTGGATGCACCCAGGAAGTTTTAAAATATCAGGATTGTTGTTGCCCTCAGAAAAGAGAATATATTACTACAAAAGTCACAGGCAGCTTCAGGGAACAAAAGGCTTTTGTTATAGCACAGAATAACCTAAGCTTAAGAAGATAAGAAGGTATGGGGCCTTCAAGTTTCATTAGTTGTGAGGAAGATAGCATTCATCTGATTGATTTCTTGCAATAATTCTGTGGCTTTGGCAATCTGTTGAGCTTTTTAAAAATAAGTAATATCTGTAGTACTGTTTCACCTCTGTAACCTTGGTTTGTCTTCCTTCTCTCCTCCCAGTGGACTTGTGTCTATGAATTCCAAGAAGGAGCTCCAGTGCGACCTGTCTCACCTCGCTGTTCTCTACGACTGACTCATTACATTGAAGAAGCCAATGTAGGCAGGGGTTACATCAAAGAACTTTGCTTCAGCCCTGATGGGCGAATGATTTCTTCCCCACATGGCTACGGGATTCGCTTGTTGGGATTTGACAAACAGTGCAGTGAACTTGTTGACTGTTTGCCCAAAGAAGCCAGCCCCCTGCGGGTGATCCGTTCTTTGTACTCTCATAAAGATGTGGTACTGACGACAAAGTTCTCTCCAACACATTGTCAGATTGCCTCAGGGTGCCTTAGTGGACGGGTTTCTTTGTATCAGCCAAAGTTTTAGGCACAACTTACATCAAATAAGGAACTTCTGGTGTTTGACTTATAAATTACTTCAATTTAGGTGAAGTATTTTCTTTTTAGAACATCTTATAAGTTTGGGTCAAGATCCTGGTTCTTATGGGTCCATGAACACACCTGTGACCTGAGTACTTGGTCATCCAGCATCATACAGGCATCTCCAAGTTAGACTCTATGCAGCGTCATCTTTTTCAGCATTCCTCTGCTCCTGCCGATCGGTGCCACTGAACTCCAGTTCTTCTGGTTACTTTGCACGGTAGCTCTTGCCAAGTTCCTTTCTCTTGCGTGTGTGCACTCTCTCTTTTTGGTTTTTGATTTTGTGGACATTTGGCAGGAGTTTTGGTTGGGGTAGAAGAAACCCATGACACTAGAATTGAATACAACTCAGAAGTTTGATGTTGGCATATTGGTTTTTGAAAAGAAATTTCATCTTTACTTATTAGTATACTTGGCCTTTTAAGGTTGCTGTTATATTTCTCTATACTGAGCACAGATAATGGTGTTATTCTCATAATTGTTAAGATAGTCTTACACCAAAATGACTTTTAAGTTTCCTGTTAAAGTTATAAAATTTTTTCATCATGAGAGGGATTTTGTTGTGAAATTCTAGAAAAAAAATATTACCACCTCTCTTTGTAATTTACTTTACTTGTATGAATTTAAAATCTCTAGCATGTATCCTTACTTGGTATTTTGTTCCTATCAACAGCATTAGAAAGGAAAGGAGGGGAACGAATGGGCTTTGGACATTTCTATTATACAGAAAAGGATTTCTTTATTAGATTAACATAATATCTGGCCACAGAGTGATGAGAACAATGTGACTTAGATTTGCTGTGTTTTCTCTGCCAGATTATTTGAATCACACAGGATGATGTGTTAACAGTTTTGGGGTGGAGGGGCAATCAGGAGTAAAGAGGTGGAGGTCGACTCATCATTCTTCCCTGAGCCAGCTGTCACAAGCTCAGCTTTCTTACCCTTAGTGAGCGGAGAACTGCAGTCCTTCAAGCTGTTGTCATAACCATGGTAGTCAATGACTTGCATGTCAAGACTAAGTGCTGAGATGAAGACTTCTTTTTATGTTTTGTTATGAAACACAGCAAGTAGAAAGCATTAAGTAGGGGTTAAGCAGAAGGCTTGCTGCTCTTTTGAATAACAGCTTTCTTCCAGTCTCCTCCACAGTGTGTTTAGAGGGATTACTAGATTGACGGAGTGATTTAAGCCATGCACTAGCCTTGCTCTCTTAGGTCTCGTTCTCTTTAGGCCAGTGGTTCTCAAACATTAGGATACATTGTAATCATTGAAGAGCTGGTGAGAAATGCAGAAACTTTGGCCTCACCTTAGGAGATTCTGATTCAGCCAGGGAGAGGACAGGAATCTGAATTTTTAACTGGAATCCCAAGCAATCTTTATTCTGGTAGTCTCTGGATCACAGTTTGAAAAACACAACCTAAATCAGCAGTAATACTTCTCTACCTATCTGGTGCCTAACACAATTCCCAGAAGGTATTTAAATTATTTTAAAAATAATAAGCAAGTGAAATCAATAGAATATAACTTGGAATGGAATCAGTTGAATCATCTGACAAATGATAAAAGTTAATTGACTTGTTTAAGGTCACCCTGCAAAGTTAGTGGCAGAGCCAGGACTTGAATTCAAGTCTTCTAATTCCTTGCTCAGGGCAATTTCTACTGTATTATTCTGGCTGTTTTAAAAACGATGACTTATGGACACTTTGTCTTTAAGTTATATTATTGTGAATACTCTTAAACTGGCCAATAGATTGGGGGAAAAAAAAAAAGCATGGGAGTAGATGTTGAGAATGAACTTGTTGACTGTTTGCCCAAAGAAGCCAGCCATGGCTTCTTTGGGCAAAGAAGAAAAGTATTTAAAATCTTACAGAAATGTTTAAACACCCCAAACACAAGGCATTTCTTTGTAGGACCTACCAAACAACCATTCACACATGCAGAGGGTTATAGCTCACTTGGAACAATGTTGGCTCTAGGACAAATTCTTAAAATTAGATCATTTTACCACAGATGTTTAAAAAAGAAGAAATGTTTTTAGTCATGGAAAAAATTACCACAAAGCACAGTGAATACATAATCTTGCCATAAACTTTGTAAAAAACATATATTTCAAAGAAAATATAGTTTTAGAGCTAAAAGTGTCCAGTGTTATCATTAAAAATAAGCTATCAATATATATTGATATTCAAAAGAAGATTCCATAAATTTTATCAATTTTGGAAAGAGTCCCATGTCAGATGCTGGACCCACAAGTTGGCCCAACTCAAAATTTAGCCAATTATTCTTTAACCACTATAGAGTACCTATCATGTGTCAAATAATGTACATACTTTACTACTAACCCTCACAAAAACCTTGCAAGGTAGGTAGCATGAGCCTCAGTTTTCTTTGGCGGTAATGGTCGGTCAGAAAAATTAAGTGACTTGCCTTAAGTTATAGAGCTGGCAGTAGGTAGCACTGGATTCAAACCCAGGGTTGTTGGTTTGTCTGCTTTAGTCCAAAGCCTGTGTGTGTACTGCTTTACCATTTTGCCCTTTAGTTTGTAAAGGATGGTAAACTGGCCTGCTAATTTATTTGGTGTCTTCTGGAAGTTTTTTATTACAGAGCTGGCTTACCTTCTGTACCATATGAAAGAACATTTACAAGATTGACAATTTCTGTGAGCATACCATAAACTCAGGGGCATATATACCATCCATTCTTAACTAAAAAAAACCTCAAGAAGAATAAGCAGCTACAAAATAGAAAAGAAAAATGGTGGAGAGACAGCCTTGTATTAAAATAGAGCCACACAGATGAGATTTAAAAATTAACAGCCAGCAAACTCAAAGGAACTTTTGTCCTTTTTGAGGTATGGTCATGATCAAGAAGTTATCAGGGAATTTTAATCAAGGAATTAAAGGTCATCAGGAATGCTATAGTACTGGAAGAATTTACATCTTACCATTTCAAAGTCCCATTTCACTTAGAATATAAAATCTAATGTTTTTTACTCTAAATTGTATTCAGTCATTTTTATTCATGATAACTGGTAAATGTATTATAATTTGTACTGTAGTATAATTGTTGGTAAATGTAGTACAAATTGTTCTCCTGTTTTAAAAAGTTTTCTGCAGAACAGTATATTTATGGCAATGCTATGTTGAATGAGTTAGGGATATAAAGTATACAGTCGTTCCTTATTTTCAACTGTGAAAATGAAGTGGCTAAAACAGAAGAGACTTCTATTTTAAAATGTCTTTTAAAAACGTATGTGAGTGGTCTTTTTTCTCAGAGGCCCAAAGCACACATATATTTTCTTATTTCTCCTTGTTATATCCCTGAGAAGAGACTATACCAAAAATTTTAGGAAAAGAGGCAAGAAAAAGGTAAATCATGTGTTCCCTGCTCCTGTGTCTAGAACCAAGATCATTTCATCTCATTGTTAAAATTGTATTCTCTAGAACGTGCAATACAGGGAAAACATTCTGAGAATCTCTTAGAAGCCTAGTGTTTCCCACACTTGTTAGATTATATGGTATTGGCATCCATAAGTATCTATTAAACTTATGTTTAGCAGGAGAAATAGTCTGATAACTTACTGATGACAATCTTCCCCATTTAATGACCAGCAGTCACTGAGTGCTATGAAAATTCACTCAGTAACACCTGTGTTGGTCATGAAGGAAACCACATATATGAATTTTTGGATAAAATTAATGTATATCTTTTAAGTGCCAAAATTTAAAACTTATATAATTATTTTTGATGCAAGTATTTCAGGTATGTGAACATACCTCCCTGCCTTCTTTTTCGACAGCATGTTCAGTATAACTAACTTTGTCATGATGAAAAGTTAAAGTTGTATTCATGTGTTATTACAAATATCCAGTGAGCTCTGATATAGGTAAAACACTTCATAAAATATAAAGGGCTATAACAAACATGAGTTATTACTATTATAAAGTGATTCCTTCAGCCCTGAGGTATATATAATTATTTGCCTCAGATTGCTGTTGGTTTGTAAAAATTTTTTTATTTCTGCTAAGTAGTTCGTTCTGTCTCCTCCGACACTATCCATATGCCTGCCTCTAACAGGCTCCCTACTTCCTTCTAATATGCTGTGTTCATCCTATGAGCTAGGATATGGGATAACCAAGCCTGTTCAGAGTGTCTCAATTAACAGCTAGACAAACTCTGGGTACACAGTCTTTGAGACAGCTCTTTTGGTTGCTTTTCACTTTTCTGACAGGTTCACAATGACCTTTTGGATAATATAAGCTCCCAGTTAAAGCCTAGGTTAGTGATTTTTTTTTTTTTGGTTGCAACTAAGTAGGATAGTACATACTAAGTAAGGATGCTGCTAGATTAAGGAATAAACAGCAATGTACCAAAGTACCACAAAGCAACAAAGGCTCTGGTTGTACAGGCATCTTTCATGTTTTTAAGAAAAAAAGAGGAAGAGTTCAGGAAAAAAAAAAAAAAATCCAGATAGACTTAAGAGTATTTTAGATGCGATTAAACTTTGTCAGTAACCATTAAAATATATGCTTAAATGATCATATGTTAGTACAAAGACACAGTTTAGTCTCATTGTAGAATAAGACTGTACTAAAATTTATACCCTAGTGGTGATTCTAAATGATGTCCTAAGAGATTCTCCCATTCAAATGAATAGAAATTATTATCAAAAGGAAAGGCTCAAAGTTACCTTTATGCTGCTCTCTTTTGTTGTAAATGAATTAGTGATAGAGATATAGGTGTTATCAAAAGCCCCAAGGAGCACATTTCACGTATACACACCTCCTATATGTATGTGTATATAAAAGTCATTACAAATGAAAATGTCACCCAGCGATAATAAAATAATTTTAAAATTTAAATCTGGTTCAAACACTTTAAAATAGGTAGAATTCTCAGTTTTCCTAAGTTTCTTCTTTATTTAGGTTTCATGATTTTTACATTAAAGGGGGAATATTTGAATTTTTAAAAAAATTTCACTGCATCTTCTATTTCCCAACTATGCTTTCTGGTAAATTTTAGATTCACATTTTCAGGAAAATTGGAGTGTTCCAGATAATATACTAGATACCCAGAAAGTTCTCTCTGTAGGTTCTGAGGTATTGTAAATTCTTATGCTAGACTGTAAGCTCCTTGAGGGCAGGGACTATCTTATTTATTCTTGTATCCCCAGTGCCTGGTATAGGACCTGAGACAGAGTAGTTGTTCAATAAATATTTGTTGAATGAATTAAATGAACCTTCACCATAAGTGGTCTCAAGCACCCATGAAGCCAGAATGCAGTGTGTAAATTATTCAGTACTAGAGGAATCCAGCATTTATTATTATAATTAACAGACTGTATTCATCAGGGTAAGATTTGTTCTGACCATAAGCAACCAAGCATTTCTCATTGATTTGGAAAACT